CATATAGTCTAGTAAAAAAAATCACCAAAGCATTTTGCTGAAATTCAAATGCCAAAAAAGATCACATGTACATCTAACGAGGCATAAATATTCTCATTCGTCGCAGAAGTAAATTACATCGCATAATACATTAAAATATGCCGACCAATTTTACACTGTTCATATCCCAGATAACAAACTAGAGAGAATCGAGGACATAGATCTAAACTACTCATAATATTGAGTAGTCTACTTGTCACACCTCATACCTAACTAGAGGCCACACTATAGCAAGGAGATGCCAGAATGATTATCTCACTACTCTGTATCCAACTTTCCAATCCAATCACCAATGGAACAAGTCATGATGAAACCCGTCGATGCTTACACCAATAGGTAAACTTCTAGCGGCCCTGGTTATCTTTACTGCAATGTAACCAAAATATAACTGTTCATAGAACAAAAATTGTTGAGAATTAATATAATATTGATTTTAATAAATGCATGTTATTAAGAATATCATATCTAAGTTCAATTCATTGCAATTGCAATGGCTGGGGTGTGGACCTATGCGGCCTATAACTCACAATTCATTTCGTACCCACTAGTGATATTGACAAGTGGAGATATTGACAAAAAACCTACTACAGACTAACCGCCCATTCATTTTGTGCAATGCAATGCAATGGAAAACATGGTTAAGTTATTTGAATTCAAATGCGAGAAAACTTAGTTAAGCATAAGTGAAAGAACATGTGGTGCCCCCATGTTTGGTTCTGGTAATTGATGACAATCTCTATGGACTAATGGTTGCCTTGAGTTATATTTGAAGGATTCCTCGATAGGAATTTCTTGAAGTCCATGTGTTGGTTTCAGGGAGTTTATGTGTTGACCAATGCTATTCAAGGAATTACCTGAAGATTGGTCATGTGAGAGGTTGATCGAGAATAAGTCAAAGAGTGAATCAAGTTGATCAACACACAAAATGTACTAGATGTGCCGAGAGGGATCAAATCATCCCATGGTATGGTAAGCATTGTCCATTACGCTTTGTGTACTAACCCATGGTCTATGTGAGAGTTCTATGTGGGGTTAGGTATGTTTCCATTGGCTTGCTTCAAGAGGGAGATATCATACAACCAATGGATGTTGACATCAAGAGGTGATCGTCATCAATATTGTGGTGTGCAAGTTAAAGTGGAGCATCACGAAGATATCATGCTTGAAGCTTGCCATCCATTGTGGTGAAAATAGACTTTTGAATGTGCGGAAGAGTGGCTCACTCATAGTGGACTTTGGGGGAGCAATCTACTAGTCTTCATCGAGCCAATGCAATCAAGAAAGGTGGTCCATCTTGAGGAGGACAAGATTGTCATCATCTAGCTCAAGTGGATTATGCGCAAGGCAAAGGTTTGCCCTTGATAGGTTTCTATTTTACCGGTCACATGGTGGTAGTTGGGAGACCGGATTATAGGATCGATTGCCGTACTATCAAGGGGGGCACTCAAGTGAGTCGCTTGATCGTATAGTTTGTAGAGAGCTCAAACCATTGCATCATTGCATCATCTTTCTTGGTTCTTATTTGGTTTTTCTCCTTGTGAGATTTAGAGCTTTTGGTCATCTTCATGACAAGCTTGAGTTCATTGAAAACGGAGTTCACATGCATCTTCTATGATATTTTCGATGTTGGAGGTCATGTCTGTTCTTCTCTGTTTGAGGTTTCACTCCTCTATATCTTAGGCATACCTCCCCTGCCTCTTCTTACAATAACCAACAAGCTTGAGTTTGCTCAATTCGGAGCTCATATGCAGAAGTTATGAAAGTTCTTGTTTTATTGTAGCCATCTGTTGTTGTGCTTGTGAGATGGAGGCCACAAGCGGTAGTACCGCCCTGGTAAGCTGTAGTACCGCTTATAAACGGTAGTACTGATGTCTATGTTGGGAAACGTAGCATGCAATTTATATTCGCCCACAAGTGTTGCCAATATGTTTGGTCATTGGTTGGATAGCATTCCAAATTGGTTCAGACCGCTAATAAGATTGGGAGCATGTGTCTTGTTATGATCGCTTTGTATATGTAAAAATGATTTGGTTTTTAATGAATAAAACTCTTCACCTTTACAGATTGGGTTGTCCAAGGTCCAATTGCCTTAGTTTGCGCCTGTCTAAAACTAATTAATTTTTGCCGCAAAAAAACTAATTAATTTGGCGTCTCAAATAAAGGTGACCTGGACCTAACGATTATGGCAACTGGCTGGTGTCAAGTCTCAATCAACACCCAACGTTCGTACTACAAATAAAGATTATCTGGACCCAGCTTGCATATGATATTTAATACTCTCTTCCATCCTAATTATATTAAATCGGCCATAATTAACATGGATCGGAGTGAGTAGTATTATTATGTTGTCCACTCCTAGCGTCATATGCACAAATCATGGCAACAGGCTGGTGTAAATTGTTTCTTCCGCTGGCACTAGCTACTAGTTAGTATATTAAGATAATACTCCCTCCATCGAGGGAGTGCATGTGAATACGTGTGCAATGGTCTAGCCGGTGCCTTGCGTTAAAAAACCTTGAGCCTGCCATATACTAGGACGGACTTATGCTAGGGTCACGTCAAGAATGTCTTTCCTTTTATATTGTCAGCTTCCTTGAGCTCTTGTGATCCTTTGCTATCAAAACGACCGCCAGTAAGTCATAGTGAGGCATGCATATACAGTTATTGATAATGGATTTTTGTCTAAAGCTTGTTACATAAGTTAGAGATGACTATAATGGGGTTATCTTTTAGTGTTAACTCTAGTAACTTGATGTACCTAAATATGCAGTGAAATATGTTGTTGCTAAGATTATCTTTTAATTAAAGAAAGACAACTATTTTCTCCTTGCTTCATTCCCTTTCATTTCAGCATTTCTCCTACATTTGACATTCTTAATATACAACCATTCTACACACCCTAAAATCGCCCTAAGTTCTAAGTGACCCAAAGGCAAGGACAACTGAGATTTTTTTGTCGGAAAACATCTCGACATTTTCCTCCAATCTTATTTTCTTAACGTGCATAGACAAGGACTTTTATGGAAGATAGTTTGTCCAAGTCAAGGTCATCTACATGTACGCCTTTTCATGAGGAGAGTGGTTCTACCGTGCGTGGGATATCCTTTGTATGTATCCATAGTTCATGGTTGCTTTGAGATTCATGCTACTTTTTTAGATGTTGTCAAAACTTATCTTGCTTCAAAATGTTTCATTTCATTTTATTTTGTTGTTTCAATGTGTATCATCATGTTTCATTGTCTATCAATAAAAAAGAATGCAGTTGTTTTGGATGAGGTTTGCTGATGCGCGGCGATACACCATGAACCATTAAGATACACTTTGGAATGAGAGAAAAAAAATCCAATGTAACACTTCGAAAAAAGGCAAATTCTAAAACAACAAAAAATAGTAGCACGAATCACAAAGCAACCACAGACAGTGGATCCATGCACAACACATCCCATGTACGATAGAATTTCTTATCTCTGAGCCAGTTGGCTTCATTGGATCTTGAAAGGTCACCATGTTGCTCATTTTCGTATGCAACCTTGTTAGCATATGGCAAGACACATCACAGTGAGTATTGGTGGGACATCTAAAGTAGAACATGTCACAAGCTATCATTACCATCTGTTCATGTCAATATGAATTAATGTACACGTAAAAAGGTTTGTCCAGCCAAGTTTTACCTGGGTTTTTTTGCCAAGCAAGCTTTTGGGGCTATTTTCAAAAGTAGATGAGAAAAATGTGTACAACGAAAGGGACTGGAATACAAATAGGATGATGTAATTAGTATTTAATTTAACTGTGAAAAACAATAAACCGAAAAGAAACTTTCTATTGCTAACTGTTGTTTGATTAACGTATGTTACTTGCTGTTTATAATTAGCAAGTTGTTTGACATAAACATCCCACTGTTTGGGTTTTTTGAAGTCAAATCTCGGTTCCAAAATCATATAGGATATGGTGTGCAAGGTCCAAGGTCCTGCTAGATACAAGAGTTGTTCCGGTGTCCAACGTCCTATTGCCCAAATTTTGTGCTTGTCTGACACTAAATAATTTGGCATCTCAATCATAACCCAATGACATTGATAAAGATAATCTGGTTCCAGCTCAAGTGATATCGTTACACTAAGTTTAAAGCATGGCAACTGGCTGGAGGCAATTGTTTCTTGTGCCGCCACAAATATTTTGGCAATGGTCCAGACAGCATCTTCTTGTGTTAAAAAACCTTCAGCTTGCGATATACTAAGACAGACTTATGCTAGGTCAGGTCAAGGAAGTATTTGCTTTTATGTTGTCAGCACCTAACGATCGACATATGCAGTTGTCTGTTTATTCGACACATGCGGACTGCATCCATGAGCTCTTCTGAGTTTTGACCCTTTGCCAACAGCAAAACAACCCCAAAATTCTCAGGGGCACGTGTCCAAGGGCACACATGCATGCAGCCACGTGTTTACTTTGAGATTTCTTATACTTTCTTATACTTTGAGATTTCTTATACTTGTTTCAAAATGTTTTGTTCGATTTTTTTTTTGCTTTTTTACTGTGTAGCATCATGTTTTATTGTGTAATAATAAAAAGGAACGCGATTGTTTTGGATTGGGTTTGATGATATGTGATGATATACCATGAAAAATTAAGATACACTTTGGAACGAGACGAAAACCCAATGCTATGAAACAAGACAAATTCTATGAACTGTCAAAAAAAGTAGCACGGATCTTAAAGCAACCTTGAAGGATGGATCATGCACAGGATATCCTATGCACAATGGTATTGCTTTTCTCAAAACAGTTGCCCTCATCGGATCTCGAAAGATCACCATGTTTTTCAGGTACTTGATATTTATGCACCCTTCTCATTTTTTAATTATAACAAAATGCACGAGTATCCACACGGTAGTTCCATGCAGCTAGTCATCCTTGCATCAACCACCCAACGGAGCAGGTCGCCATGCCTACCGGCTGGATGAATTATGAGCTGGTTGCAGCACCGGTCAAGAGTACCGACCGAGCGAATTCAACCAGGCTGTCGACGTCCTGCTCCTGGAACACCGCCTTGGCAGCGTCAAGATGGGTAAAACGCTCCATCCATGACGCCAGCAGCGGGACCTTGCTGGCGTCGAAGAAGTTGTGACCAGAGATCTTCTCGGTTGCGTACAGCCACGGGACCATGCCCCCGAGCAGGACATCGAGGTAGCCGATGTCGTCCCCGCCAAACAACCCCTTGCCCTTGCAGCACTTCATGAGGCCTTCCTCCAGCACATCCACCGCTTCAAACGTCCGCCTCGCCCAGACCGCCCTCTCCTTGCCCGTCTTCGCCTTCAAGACCATTTCCCATGGCCCCAACACCTTGTCGTCGATGTAGGCGGCCCAGAAGCGGGCAACGGCGCGCTCGTAAGGGTCGGCGGGAAGGAGGGCCTTGGCCGCGGCATGGAAGGCCTCGTCGACGTACTGGACGATGACCTGGGACTCACAGATGGGCTTGCCGTCGTGGATGAGGACGGGCACCACCTTGTGGACGGGGTTCGAGCAGAGGAGCAACTCGCTCTTGTTGGCGAGGTCCTCCTCCATGTACTCATAGCTCACGCCCTTGAGGTTAAGCGCCAGCTTCACCCTCGCCATGTACGGGCTCGCCCACATCCCCAGCAGCTTCACTTCGTTTTTCTCCCCAGCCATTTCAGGGATAGATCGATGGATAATTGGTTGGGAGGTGATTGATGAACTAGCTGGTGTGCAAGACTATGTGCACTTGTACAGAGAGTACCAAGTACCAACACATGCTCGGCCATATTATTTGGCGGTGTTTGTTTTCATGCGCAACCGACACTCAGCGGCATTGCAGAGATAAAATTTTCATCTGTCCACATTGGAAGGTAGAATGGATACTTCCGTTTCTCCAAGTGGATGTTACATATATCTCGGAAAGAAGCCTCCAAGATATGTGACTGTACCTTAACTTGTTTCAAATGCACGTAACACCACTTGCTCCATTAATGATATGTTAGTTAGTGTAGTTAATTATTGATGTTCCTTTCGGCCTGTACTATCCAAGGTGATTGCCATCGAAGGCAGCCAAGAAGTCAATGATGAGCTATCTAACCAATTAATAAATTCATAGGAATAAATAAGTCTAACAATGATACTATATCCACATTACGAAAAGTACTAGCTAAACCAAAGTAATATCTCTCGAAACGGTCTTTTGCCCCACTTTATGGATAAAACCACGAATAAAACCACACGGCCAAACTATACATAGTATTGAGGAAATCCCCATACAGGCTGATCAAAAGAAAACACGACGTCGAGCATGCTAACAAGAACAATGCTACCACAGCAAGACGCAACCAAGGACGCTGATGACAAGTGACCACGCACCATCAAGAAAAACCATTAGACTTTGACGCAGCAGTATCACCAAACTATCTCTGGGGAGGACCCCCATGCCCTCTCTTTTCGAACCGAGGAGCACCAACCTGCGGGCAGGCAGAAAGTACGGACAGCGGACATGAGGAGGTGTCACATGTAAAGGTAAGGGGAACACGAGAACGAACCATCCCGAACAAGTCGCCGCAACCCAGAGACTCCCACATTCACAGGCGATTCCCCCATGAGGGTGACGACACAAAGCGCCACCGCAACCACCTAAGAGAACAAATGTTTTCAGCTTGACCGTCGGGAAGGGTGGGGAGCTAGCCAAGATGGCAGCCCCAAGAGGAATGTAGCACCCTCAGGTATCGTTATCGGTGCTGGCACCGATGCACTAAGCTTTTGCTCGGCTCCTCCTGCACACCTCACCGTAGGTCCTGAAGCCACCAGGCCCATCATGAAAGGGGCCCAACATGACGGAACTATGACTCCATATATAGATCACGTCATGATTGCCACCGACTGTGACAACTTCGCTTGGACGTCCCTCCATAGTCCACCTCGCCACCCACATGGCCGAGGAACACCACTAACACCCACTGCAACATTGCTCCCTAGAGAGCCAGCTATGCAGCCCACCATCCATGGCCGCCGCCCCGACATTCATCTCCCTGAGCCCTCTCCTGGTAACAAACATGTAGTCAGCAAGCACTGGAGGAAAGGGTGTGAAGGCACCTCCTTCCCCACCCCTGGACAATCCCTAAGCCACATGCACCCATTCAGATCTAGAAGCAGATGATCCCAACTCGACGACTGCCATCCACCTCTTGCAGCGGCAATCATCAAGCTCCAAGCCCCCAAATTGCCCCCCCACCACTAGTGGTGCTTGGATCTGAGCGGGAACACACCACCAGACACTGTCCAACCTCGACTAGGTAAAGGGCGAGTAGTACGGCAGCACACTGACTACCGAGTGGGGAGGGGCGATTGTTGCAACCTTCGGACAATGGCCCCCGTACCACCAGGCACCGGCCATCGGCAAGACAGGGGAAGGCAGACCAGCCGGCCAGCCAGCAGCAGGAGCCAATGCCCGACTAGGGATAGAACTCAGGGCTCCGTGAACCTCTCCCATCCATGGCTTGGCCTGGCAGCATGCCCGGGGCCTTACCTAAGATTCTTTATAAAAACATAAAATGCATTCCTTGTCCCTTAACTTGAGCAGTTAATTCAGTCATCCTATTTTCAAACGCAAGTCTCCCTTCGTAATCAGCTGACATGTCAGCCCCTAAGGGCTAACACACTAGTGGATAAGTTCAAAAAAAACACGCCAATGGATATGGAAAGGTTTTGTCCGGTAAAAGGTTTTCCTTGTATTTCCAAATCTTGGTTTATTTTCTTATCGTTCTTAGCATTCAAGTTGTAACGTAACTCGGCTCAGTATCTTGCGAGGTTTGTATCAATTGAGATAAGCTATAACATTTCCTTTTTTTTGAGAGTGAGCGCTAACATTTATATTTTGTATTAGAACATAATGAGAAGTTTGTATGCACGAGCTGCTTCTTCCACCCACATCAGAATCCTTTCAGTTATGAGATAGCTCGAAATTCTCATTTCCTGGATATTTTGTTGCCGAGTGAACTCCAAAGGACTAGAGATTTCATGGTACCTGCGATCCGCATGCATCAACTTTTTTTAGAACTAAGGCTCACAAGTCACAACCTGCTCTTTATGAACAGATACAGAGGGTACTCAAACTTGCTGTTGACTCCGATTTAAAAAAAAAAACTTGCAGTGGATTTCTCGAAATGTTTTTGGGTTGTTATATTACATACCTCTGTTCAGTCAAGAAATGACATGAGGTGCAAGTTACCTCCTAGTGAACCATAGAATTTTGAGCTTCCCTTTTGTTTACTCTTAGAACGGAACCTAAGAAATTTTGGTAAAACTCAAAATAATCGGCAGCATGAGAAACACCATTATATCTATTTACTGGCCAATTTCCCCAAAAATAAAATTAGGGGCCTTCCGGCCTATTCAGGCAATTCAATTGCATTTCCGACTTCCCAAGTCACCCAGCGTTATACTCCATCGACGACAATTGAAGACTTTGTCACCGGCTACTACTTAGTACTCGCTACTATGTGAGCATTTATATCTGCATGTATCTGTGTGTTATTCAAAACAATATCTGACTGCTTTCCTCCACTCCATGGTAAACGACACTTATACCCATCTCGGCACCGCGAGGAACATTTGGATAGTCTATCAGGTATCTATATTGATTCCGGGTTTATGCGTATTTGGAGCTGCAGATATAGATTTCAGTCACTTCGGGCTTAATGCTTGCAACAATGGCGTATGATGGAGTTCCTTCATGCTATTCTTGCAGTGGTCATGCAAGTTTGATCCTCGGAAGCTACACACAAGTCACTAGGATCATAGTTTCTGAGCCGCTAAGTTAACAGAAGGCTCAAATTAATATCCTTGGGTTATGAGATGATGAACCAGACTAACCTTGTTGACTGTTCTCGCGCCAACTGAAGCCCATTAGACCTAAGACAAAACCATGTCCTGCCGTACTACCCAATACTTCCTTGGAAATCAATTAGATTTCATCTCTCTTCTATTGTTAACAAATATATAGTTCATAGACGCAAATTTAATTAAGGACCACGAGTCTTCTGTTCTATATTGAATAAAAGTCCAAATAGTAGGGTGCTGCGACATGCACCGTCGATCTAGTGGTAGGAGCAGATAAGTTAGAGGAAGGAGGGTACTAACTTCTAATCATATTTTCTGAAGATGTAGATATTGGCTATACTCTTTTAATCAATATAAGCGCAGTAGCGAACATTATGAAATGAATTAGTAGAGGAAAAAAATAACTATACACAGTATACAATATAGAGAAAATCTAGCCTTGTAAATATCCATGTTTAAGAATGAGAGAATTCATCCGATTAACCAGTTAAGTTGCCAATTAATCGTACTCGTTGGGTCACCGAGTAGCCAAACAACTGATATATCATGCAATTAATTGATTAAATGACCGATTAATTTGTCGATTAGCCTATTAATCCCCTACTCGTCAGTGAATCGAGCAGCTACCACTTAATGATTTCCTCAACAAGGATAAATATGCGGGTCACCCTGCAAGTTTCATTATAAGAAATACACTGAGTTATCCACTGGTAGTTCCATGAAAATGGACATGCAAATAGACGACCACCAGGGGAGCAGGTCTCCATGGCTACCGGCGGTTTATCAGTTGCTTACAGCCATGCCGGAAAGTACGGTCCCAGCATACTCTACCAAGCTGTCGACGTCCTGGAACACCGCCTTGGCAGCGTCCAGCTACGTGAAGCGCTCCATCCATGCCGCCAGCAGCGGGGCCTTGCTGGCGCCGAAGAAGTTGTGACCGGAGATCTTCTCGGTGGCGTACACCCACGGGACCATGCCCCCGAGCAGGACGTCGAGGTAGCCGACGTCATCACCGCTCAAGAACTCCTTGCCCTTCGAGCACTCCCTCACTCCTTCCTCCAGCGCATCCACCGCTGCGATGGTCGGCCTCATCCACTCCGCCCTCTCCTCGACCTCGTCTGTCTTTGCCCTCAAGAGCATCCCCCACGGCGGCAGCACCTTGTCGTCGACGTAGGCGGCCCAGAAGTGGGCCACCGCACGCTCGTGGGGGTCGGCAGGGAGGAGGGCAGGGCCGATAGAGGCGAAGGTCTCGTCGACGTACTGGACGATGACCTGGGAGCTGGGACTCACAGATGGGTTTGCCGCCGTGGATGAGCACGGGAACCATCGTGTGGACGGGGTTGGAGCGGAGGAGCAGCTCGCTCTTGTTGGTGAGGTCCTCCTCCATGTACTTGTAGCTCACGCCCTTGAGGTGGAGCGCTAGCTTCACCCTGGCCACGTACGGGCTAGCCCACGCCCCCAACAGCTCCACTTCCTCTCCCTTCCCCCCAGCCATTTCAGGGAGAGGTCGATCGATAGTGTGTTAATTAGTTGGTGGGTGATAGATGAAATATAGCTGGTGCGGTACACTATATGTTTAGAGAGTAGAGAATAGCAACGACCAACACCTGCTCGTGCAAGAAGCATTTGTTTTGGCACACATACCATATGATTAATTAACTGTACCTAGTGTGGTAGCTAGAAATTACTCCTAGTGTCAAAACCGCTCTTATATTACGGAACGGAGGAAGTATATATAGAGGGAATCAACGCGTCATCCATGATGCCCATGATTTATCTCCAATGCCGTGAATATTAATTACTCGGATGGTCAGCACAACATTGGG